TCAGCAGGCACCTGCAAATCCTGCTTATTTTCACTATGATGGTTGAACGCAGCAGACTGTCTTCGTTAATGGACATACTGCCTAGTGGGGTAAATGGTGTGACAGCTGCAAAGTCACAATTAATATTCTAGGGATAACTGTCACGATTCTCTGTGACCTGCCCAACAAAGACTATTTTTATAATTGAAGAAATTAGGCTGTGCTGCTTCCCCATTCCCATGCAGCGCTCCCAGGATGGTGCCTTTTTTTAGACACCTGAAAGTGACCCTATTTAGAAATACCATTAAAGTTCTCTTGAGATTACATCATACCCTCGGCTTTTATTTTATTTCATCTTATTAAACGTACTATTTTCTGCCTCCTGCTTACAGCTCAGCCTGAGGCCTACAGTGGCTGAACTTCAAGCAAGAAGAATCCTTCGATTTAACGAGTACGTGGAGGTCACAGATTCTCCGGATTACGACCGTCGTGCCGACAAGCCTTGGGCCCGGTTAACTCCCGCAGACAAGGCAAGGGGCAAATGTAGATTATAAGAAAACGCTTGCATCTGTCACTTTTGGGGGGCTTTCCTCTGGTTTACATTCTCTTGATGCCAGCATCATGAATGGCATCTGCTGGAGGCAGTGAGATTGTCATGGTACTACTGTGCATCTGCTTGCAGCTAAGCAAACCCACTCAGGTGCCTATTAAGAGCATATTTGCCGCCACCACAATGGCAGTTCAGGCAGAATTTCTTGCGTTTTTAAAGCCTTGCTAAGCCAGGCACACATTGTTAGCAAAGGTGGCCACGACCTGTGGAGTTCAGGCAAGGTTTCTGCAGGCAGCAGCCTGCGTCACTGCCACCAAGAGTTACTTTTGCAGCTCATTCAAGTGAAAAAAGGTAGAAGCTGCTCCAACCTCCCAAGGGTTCTTGGCCAAAACCGTCAGTGAGCTGACTGTATGCCTGCAGCATGCGTTCATGGGAAGTTTGCCCCCAAGATACTGCAGTTAATAGTTGTCGTGGTTTAACCTGGGCTGGCAACTAAGCACCATGCAGCTGCTCGCTGAGGTTGAGATAAAGACAGTTTAATAGGGAAAGCAAAAGCCATGCGTGCAAGCAAAGCAAAGCAAGGAATTCATTCACCACTTCCCATGGGCAGGCAGGTTCTCAGCCATCTCCAGGAAAGCAGGGCTCCATCATGCGTAACGGGATTCCCCATTACTTGGGAAGACAAACGCCATCACTCCGAATGTCCCCACCTTCCTTCTTCTTCCCCCAACTTATATACTGAGCATGACATCACATGGTATGGAATAGTCCTTTGGTCAGTTTGGGTCAGCTATCCTGGCCATGTCCCCTCCCAGCTTCTGATGCACCTGGCAGAGCTGAGAGCTGAGAAGTCCTTGGCCAGTCTAAGCACTACCCAGCAACAACTAAAACATCAGTGTGTTATCAACATTCTTCTAGTACTAAATCCAAAACACAGCACTATGCCAGCTACCTGGAAGAAAATTAACTCTATCCCAGCTGAAACCAGGTTCCTCTGCCTAACTACAAAGTATGAGACAAACAATTCTGTGATTCTCTTCTAAAAAAGCAGATCAGAGATAAAGTACTCTTCCATTCACCTCCTATACCACTTCATAAAAGGAAAACTGTAGGATTTATGTATCAAAAAGTGCTGGCCCTTTTAGCACTGGGTCTGAACCAATTGTTACAGAAATCTTATAAGTTGTGCTTGGCACGTAAAGTGATATGTGCAAGAACCCACTGTCGTTTAGCTAAGGACTGTGAAGCACTGATTTAATTTCAGCTTATATTTTAATATTAGTGCCAGCTCATCTGACAATCAAAGGAGAATCTTGTGTCAAGTCAAGGTGGAGACATTAAAAATGTACCCAGAAGTGTTTGTAGATGTTGGTTCTGGGAGGTGCTGAGCACACTCTAGTCCTCACGTAGACTGTGGAAGGTCGGAGCACCCAGCACCTCCACTTTCACCTAGGTCCAACCAGGGTAAACTGCACTAGAAAAACCACTGGAGTTTCCTACCTACTTTAGGGTAGCAGCTTTAATCTCAGTTCGTTTTGTAATGAACAAGTGCCCAAGGCTGGTTCTGCGATCCCCATGTTTGCTGGCTTTGGCTGAAAGGCAGGCCATGGGTTGCCTGGAAACTCCCCTGCCCTTTTTTCCCAAGGAAGTAATTTTTCTCATTTCAGTGGGAGCAGCAAATTGTACTGTAACTATATTACGGAGCTGGAGCTCTGGTGTCTTCACTGGTGATTTGGTGCTGAGAAATAGCTGTCTCTTTCCGAGCTATTACAGCAGCCTCGTGTAAGCATGCTGTTGTGGCTAAATGGAACCATCCCCTGCTTAAAATGAAGTTTCTCATTTATGAGACCACAGTCTGGTGATGCTATAATTTTATCATGCCGCTTGTCTGTTCTGCATTGAAAGGCATGCACACCAGATGGGATTTCTTTAGGGATTAATGAAATGATACTGCTTTTATTTAAAATGGTGAAAGAAAAGAGCGAGTAAGAATAAACTGTCCTTTCATTTCACAGTGAAGGTAGGAAAGCGTATGGCATAGACACAAAAGCCCTTATAGTATATATCAGAATATTTCAGAGATTGTATGTATTACCTGATGAAGTAAATTGCTTATCACTCTTTTTTAACATAAGCAACAAGGCGTTTACAAAGTGCACTGAATTTCTGCTGTTCTTTAGTATCCGCCAACTGAAAACACAAGCCTGAAATGTCCGAATATTTAATGTAATTTTACATAAAACTAATCAAACCAAGTGACTAATTCCGCTGAAAAAGATGCTGTTCATCTTGCATTTCTGATTTCGTGTCTTCACTGGGAGATACAAGGCCCCTGCTGTCCATACCGGCTCCTCAGGGGCTGTCCTGGGGGTACCGTCCCCTCGGGGCTGCGTGCTCAACAGGGGGCTGTCGAGGTGACCCAATCCCTTGCCCGTTTTTGTCTGTAGCAAGTGCCATATTTCGTTGGGGGTGTTGGTTCACCCATTGCAGTAGATTTGGTGTGTCTGTGTTTATTGTTGGTATTTGATGCTTTGGGTCTCTTTGTAGTGTATTACTGCTGCAAGTAGCTGTAACCGAAACAAGTCATTCATGTTGATGATGAGAAATGTGTAAGAGCTGTGGATTACAGTAAGGGAGACTGGAAAATGGGAACTGTAAGGGAACCTGCAAGAGTAAGGCCAGGTTCCTCTCAGACTCTACTTTCTTTAAGATTCAGATTTCTTATGGTTGCGTATATCTTTATTGTTTATTAGGCAGCAATACGGAAAGAACTGAATGAATTTAAAAGCACAGAGATGGAAGTACATGAGGAAAGTCGGCAATTTACCAGGTGGGTGAATCCCTCTTCTTGCATAAGTCAGAGAGATGACAGCAACCCTCTGCCTTTCTGCAAGTCCTCTGCAGTTGTGTCATGACTTGCGTAGATTCCTACCATGAGTCCCCTTGAATCCCACCTGAATTTCACCACTGATTCTGTTGGGATTCCCAGTGTTGATGGTGCCATCCCTGAAGCTGGGTAGCTGATACAGCAGTGAAAGTGACTGCAGTGGATCAGTTGCTACATGGAAAAAGATTGATTGGGAAATCTGAAAAATAATCCTTTGAAAGGACTCAGCATTTCTCGCAGATGAAGTTAACAGTCCTCAAGCACAAAAAAAAGGATGCCCTTCTCTGGCAGTACCCCCTTGCTCATGAAGGTATACGTCCAACCTGGCCTTGAATGTTTCCAGGGATGGGGCCTCCACTACCTCTCTGGGCAACCTGTTCCAGTGTTTCACCACCCTCATTGTAAAGAATTTCTTCCTTATATCTAGTCTAAACCTACCCTGGTTTAGTTTAAAACCATTCCCCCTTGTCCTGTCACAGCTGGCCCTACTAAAAAGATTTTCCCCATCTTTCCTATAGGCCCCCTTTAGGTATTGAAAGGCCAGCTTTTTGTAGATGAGCTTGGTAAGCGAAAACTAGGTGCTGTGTTGAACTTCAGAAAAGCTCACCAGTGTTTTGGGGAGCTTCCTAAAGGTCACTTAGGCTCCTGGCAGCAGTTTCTGGGGAACAAAACAGATTCTAATATTCCCTGTTTGCTACTTCTAATGTGTTAATCTGGATTTGTTTTGTTCTCTGCTTTGGATAACACCAAGATGTTGTCTGTAGCATTATTACCTAAAGAGCTCTGAAGTGTCCACAGTTTTTAGCAGGACTTCACATTTGGCACAGTTATTCCTAGGGGGAGGGAGGCGCTTTCTGCCATGCCCATGGCATCTGTTAGTATTTTTCTGAGGTTGTAAAGGCTGAAAATTGCCACCAGCAAGCAAAACTTGCTGTTAGGATCAGCCGATGTTGCATACATAGTGTTATTGTCTTCACTTCCACACAAAGTCAGATAAAAACAAGTGCCCAAGACTGGGTCCCTTCCTTCTCCTGCTACTGTTTCAATCAAACTCAGGGTCTGAGCAAGAGAGTGTCATGAGGAAAATTCAGAATGGGAGATGGGTGTTTGGTGATTTCTGGCATCTCCTGGCTCAACACTTGATTTCACAACTTCAGTGATTTTTTTTCTCACCAAAACATGGATTTTTTTATAATATTGTAAACTCACTTCAGTGTAGATATAACATGAATAAATTAATTGCCAAAGATTCAAACTGGTTTCACAGACAGCAAACCTAAGCCAGCAGATGAACCAGAAGGCAGGGTTTTAATCTAGTGTCGCATCCTAACCATTAGAAAATGTCCTTTTCAAACATGGATTTGTATATTTTCACTTGGTTTCTGATGTTATTTTCTCTTCAGGTAGTGGGTGGTATATCTTCTCCAGAATATATACAAATACTACTTTAAAAAAATGGGCATCCCAAGGGAGAGAAGGAAAATGAGCAGGAATAGAAACCTGGCTGTGTGCTGAGAGAGATGGAGTATAATCCCCTGCTTATGTTGTTACAGTTTTTTGAGTTCCATTGCAATATAGAAGCATAAGTACAGGCAGGCATGAGTCATACAAAAAGAATTAGATATTTTTTCACAAGAATTGAAAACAGTTGAGACTGATTACAATTGGATTCTTGAAAGCTGAACCAAAAATTTCAGGGATCTGGTGGAGTGACAAAACCAAATAAAAAGTGATTTTTTTTTTTTTTTTTTTTGAGGAGGAGGGCTTTGGAAAACGGAGTAAAAAATAGGCACAGCCAAATTGTGATAAATATAGGCAATGATTCTATAGGACTGTCGTCATTTAACCTGGCTGGCAACTAAGCACCACGCAGCCGCTCGCTCAGCACTATGCCAGCTACTGTGAAGAAAATTAACTCTATCCCAGCCGAAACCAGGACAAGGGTCCTGGAAGAATTTCAACTTGAGGGAAATCAGGCTCTCTTCTGCTTCCACTCCACCCTCTGTTTTTTCACTGGTCATGTTGTGGAACCACTACACAGAAGTCAGTGGAGTAACACTGGAAAAAGCTAATTAAGAGCAGAATTAGATGCAGATGTTTTAAGTCAATTGCAATTTTGAAAATAAAAAGAGATTCCATTTCCTCCGGGACCTCTCATTAAAAATTATGTAGTTCACCACTACATTTGGATCAAGAGAACTGATTTGTTTTAAGAAAACTGTAGACAAAAGTCTCTAGTCAGAGAATGAATTACTCATCTTTCAATTTTTTTTTCAAGGAGATCACTGAGATAATACAAACCAAAGGCACTTCAGCATTGGCAGCTGGTTAACAAAGGCTTATGCGTGAAGTTCTGTGATAGAATGAGACAACAAGGAAGCTGCATATGAAACAAAAATAGCTTACAGCATGTGGTTTCTTATATTATTACATATTCAATATAAGACACTTCAATATTACAATCAGTATTTACAATACCTTTGAATTGTTAAAATTTGGTATTGAACTTGGGAAGGAGAAAACACTGGCTTTCACTGTTCATTATTTACTGTAATGATGGTCAGCTGAACTGGTTTTCCACTCGTGGTAGTTTAGACTGATTCCTTCTGTTATTTCATAACTGAATCCAAGAAACTGGGTTTCTAAAAATAGATAAATAACAGCTTGGGAAGAGGGTATTAGTAGATGTTTATAAAGTGCTTCTAATGGAAATGCTATATGTAGTCCAATATATAGATGTTCTACACAAATACAAAACCCTGTGTCTTTTTTGCAATGCGCTGTACCCTCACTTAGCAGATGAGCTGCATACTTGTGAATGTCAGCTTTCGTGTACACCTCCTTTATTCGAGAAACGCATCCCTGTACCGTGCTGTGTCACATTACGGGGGTAATGTGCGGCTTATTTTCTTTTCTCTTCTCTGGAACTGTTAAGAGAAAATGTGCCAAACAAACTCTTATGTGAATCTACTGTGTTACGTGCATGCAACCTATGCCGTTGTAAAGTTGCTCCATCTTTTACTACGCCATGGATAGATGTATTTTTAAAGCCTTTTAAACAGATTCAGAAGTCTGGTGATTGATAGATGCATTGAGTACCTCATATTGGTGCCCCTCCTACCCTTTTGCTTTGATTCATTACACTTAAGCTGAGTTAGAATTTCAGTTGCTGTAGGCTCCTAACTTATCCTGGAAAAAGTTGGCGGCACCCTTTGGAGCAACCCACCTCACTATCCATCATACGGGCAGTGTGGAGTGAGGTACATGCCCTACCTAATGTCAAAAACAGTGAGGTGTATTTGGCCCTTTATGTGCCACAGTTGGCTGCTGTTAATAGGAAGAAAGCATCTGCAGTGCTCCAAGATTTGTTGCCTACTTAAAAAAATCCAAAATTTTTGTTAGCTTCATTTTGCAGAAGGATGAAAAACCAGAAATTTAAGCTTTATGGCTTAGCAAAATCTTTCTGATTTACTGGCAGTGCCCCTAAATAGTGGATGCAATTGTGGCTAAATCTACATTGATAAACAAAACAGACTTGAGACTGTTCTCCGGCCTGAGGCCTGCAGGCTTGGCACAGCTTGAATTCACACAGCTAACTTCTTCCCCCACCCCAAAGCAGGGTGGTGTCCCCCCATACTCAGTCAGCCTATTGGCCTGTGCTAACCCCAGCCATGCCCAGGCAGCATCTGGAAGAGTGCTGGCTGACCCAAGCAAAACTGTGCCAGGGACCACAGTCATGGGTTAATGGTATGGACAGACAGACCTACACCAGACATGCCTGAGCCATGCCATAGCCCTGTTTGGTTTTCTAGTAGAGACGGACAGACGGGGGGATAGACCTGACTCTAGTCCCAAATAGAGCAGGAAAATTAGGAATAATTCTGTTCGGACAACAAAAGTAAACGCCTGTGAGAACAGGATGAGGATTGGTGGCATTGTCAGTTGAAATAATATAATTCTAAGTTTTTTAATGATTTATCATTTCAGGTTTCATCGTCCATAATTGTTTGACCACATCCCGTATTTCCTGTAACAATTTTCTTTGGGGAAATCATTGCGTCCTGAAGACCTGAGATTGCACTGGAACTTGACTGAGTGTGAGTGTGTGCTACAACTTACCCTGAGGTTAATGAAGGATGTGGCCCTCGTCTTTATCCATGGACAAATGATTTGTCTAGGAGGAGAACCCACATGAAGCGTTTGTCAGCGTTAAGACAAACGGCGATTCTGTGGCTAGCCCGCACAGATGAATCAGTGGATGACTTCTTCGGAGCTCCACAAGTCAGGAAGTGCTGAAGACAATCGCTTGAGAGCCTGCTACCGGGATCTCATCAGACTTCATAGGGTTGTGACTGAGGGTAACTGAGAGGGGGGAGTGTGAAAAGGACTGAGAGCGTCGGGGAAGAGAGACTTTGCTTGTCGATCCACAGAGAAAAGTGGAACGGATGGGACTGCTTAACAATGCACTTGGCCAGTGGGAGAAACTATTTAAAAAAAAAAAGAAGAGAGTGTGAGCAGCTGTGCATGTGGGTTTTTTTTAGTGGCCGCAGCCTGTCTTAGAAAGACAGTAGGCCACAAGTCCTCATGTCATCAGTACCTTCGTGAACAACTGTAATTTTCTCTGGTGCCAGTAAATGCAGTTGCCAGAAATTAGTCCTAGTATAACTCAGCTGTCTTTTTTTTAAAATCCTGATGAGCATGCTTCAAGAAAATACGTTGAACATTCATACAGCATAAGTCATATATTTTTTGTTTTTTAATGTTGACATACTCTGGATCCTCAGAAGTACATAAACAGGATTCGAAGGACAAATAACATGTGACACTATGAATGCAATGAAATGCTTCATGTTTAGAAACACTCCTTGCGTCTGTCACTTGCCATTTGAACCACAGGGATCATTGTCTTTCTCACCTATGGCAGGCAATGGTGACAATTTTGACATCATGCTAGTGTGAATCCAAAATCAGAATTGAAATTGGGCACAAAAGTCTTTACTAGTAGGCTTGAGCAGTGACTACTGATGTGACCTCTCACATTTAAGGACTCTTGCACTGCTCTGAGGAAGAGCTCCCAGATGAATCAGTACGTCTTCAGCATATGTAAAAGCGAATGGAAAATCCTTAGAGTGTCTGCAGCCTGGTTTTGTTGAGTGTGAAGAATGCTTCTTAGATTCATAATTTTTTATACTATCTTGAAATTGTATATGTGAATACAGTACTATTAAAATCAAGTGGTATGGAGTGTGAAAGGCAATACATGGTTTTTCTAAGTTGGCCCAAAGGCCTATTAAAAAGCCTGTGGCGTTGTTTACACTAAGAAGTTCTCTGTCTTATATTAGCACTTATTTATCCTTTGAATTAATCTACACAACATTTGGGGGGGTCTGGAATTCACATATGCATACATTTAATGCAGTATTACAATATATTTACTATTTATCCTTTCTAATGTGTGTACATATTACAATTTATTTTTGTCTTTTATGTGCCCTATTTAGTTTTTAATTATGAAGTGTAAGTATTTCTTTTTCAGGCAATAAAAGGTCTGCGTAGATGTGATTTTTACCTCAGAACCTGCAATAGATTCCTGTGGAATGCTTTTAGTTTATAAAATTGAAGTTTGTTGTTTTAGATGTCAGCCTAAAGGCAGGAAGACAATTTGGTGGCTAAAATTAGATCTCCCTCTTTACTGATATTTACAGCAAGACCAGGTTTGCATAAGTGGAGTGGATTATTTTAGTAAAGAGCAATTCTAGTAAGAGGAGAGTGCTTTCCAACAGCTGGCACTCTATTACTTTTAAAGAGGTTGACAAACCTTTTTCTAAAAAGATAGATTTATATAATTGTTAGGATCACTTACATTTTAGTAAAAAACTGTGACGTATGGACCCCAAAATATCAATAATCAAATACAATAACAATCTACATGCTTGTAGCAAAGAAAAGGAAGCAGCACCTTCCTTTTTTAATGGAATCAATAAGAGGCATTAGGATTCCATCTGCAGAAAACGGTTTAGCTTCTGTGAGGCCCATCTATATTACAAATATAGAAACACCGCTTGGACATCAAGGAAGCAGTGAAAATGTATTCTTTGGCACTAAATCATGCAGGAATGATCAGGCCATTACAGTTAAGGTGTGTCAGCAATTCTGGTAGAATCCTAATTTTTATTTTTAGAATTTTAGAGTAAACTTAAAAACTTACACTAGTACTTAATAAATAGTTCCACTGCTTAAACTTTTTGTTGCTATTGTTGCCAAATTTAGAAATACGTGTCGAAAATCCTATGAAGGCCTACTGTGTTGACTCTGAAGTATAAAATGCAGTATTTCACTTCAAAGGAAAAAAGTGGAGCAATTAAATAGACCTCAGTGTTGCCTTAATCACTTTCAAACATTTGAAAGCAGCCAAGATGCTAAAGGCAGAAAGATAGCTGTTGCACAGGCAGAATAACTTGGACAAAGGTAAAGTCATACTATATAAACTTTATGTAAGACAGTAGTTCTACTGACATGCCAGGATATGTATGGGTTACACAGGTGAACTAAAACTTGTTAAACTCTTAGGATGAAGTGAATGAATTGACTTTGCAAGAAGACATTCCTCTATACGAGGCCTGGAGCACGGATGGCAGGATGTGTGGCACCTTCTTGTTTAAGAATTAAAACACAAAGATGAAGATACAACTTCTGGCTCAGACTTCTCCAAGCTGCATTTTGACATAAGACATGAGGATACATAGGTGAGGTATCACTTAGGCTTTCGCTGTCCTCCTTCTGGGTTTGGGGTTCTTTTTAAGTATTCACTACAAACCATTGCTAGAGGCAGAATACTAGCCTGGATAGAGATGCTGAGATAATCTTTAATTTCTTATGTCATTCCATATTATTTTGATGATAAATAATCAGATGCATTATTTGGCCCACAGTTCAGGAAACTATTTAAGCAAATTTATGTAACTGGACAAAAAGAGTGGCCTTTATTGGGACTTCCGTAAAAATGTAGTATACTTGCAGAATTAGAACTATAAACTATCCATTGTGTATTGTACCCACACACAGACTTAGAATTGTATATACTATTTATATATTCTAAATATCAACTGGCAGAAAACCGACAGCTGTAAAGTGTTATCCACACAATAAAAAATAACAAGATTTTGGTATGTCACTGCGTGCAGTGAAGCAAGTTTGCTTTACCTGATCGAGCTGCCTGAAGTCAGTTTCTGCTGTATCTCCTAGTCCTCTGTATTGATGATTTCAAATGTCTTCAAGTTGCTACAAGAGCCTGTGGGAAATAATATGTCGTGTACCTAACTCTGTATGGTGCAGGGAGGAATCAGGATAAGTCCCGAGAAACTCCTGAGTAAGTAGTCCTTGAGGAAAAAAATAAAAAGATGCAAAAAAGGCAAAGAAAAAAATAACACTTTCCACACAACACATAGAACAGTCCAGCTGGCTAAAAGGGATCAATGTGTTAATTCGTATCAAGTTGGACAAATCATTTAAATGTCATCCACAACATATGAGAAATCTTACACACATACCTATGTTCCGGTATGAACTCAGATGTCTACATCCACACAAAGAGAAAATGAGTAGCTGGAAGCAGTGGTTTCCGAAATGACCTCATACATCACATTTATCAGTAGGATCATGCATCACAGCATGTTGCTGTGGGTGCAAAGAATGGATGCTTAATCAAATCCTAATTTCTTCTTTGCATACCAAATTTAAATGGTTCTAGAATGTCTCTCATCTCTCTCTTCTTTCAGGCAAGATATATTAGTCCTTATAACTGAAATTTGTTTCAAATGAAAAATAGTCTGCCTGAATTTCCTCTAATTGTGATACACGTGTTGACTCAACAAGTACCAAAAAAATATTATTTAAGCTAACGATTATTTAAGCTAAATACCGTTTTGACTGGTGATTTGAAACAAGGTAGGACCAGCAGTGGTGTCTCTTCAAAATCACTGAAAGTATTCACAGCCATTTGTAGGTCTACAAGATTGTATTTATTTGTTGGGTTTAGCATTTACCTACAGTTGTGCGTGTCTTGCTGTGGTGGACTTCACCAACCTCTGATGTGGTGTGGGGCAGGGCAGCCCAACCTTCTGCTTTGGCCACACTGAGCACCTCTTAGAGAAGCACCACGACCTGAGTGTTGACATGTAAAAACCCTATCAGACTACCTTTTTTTTTTTACTTTTTTTTTTTCCTTGAAAATCACATGAAAGCTGTGAAACAAAGGGAGGAAAATGTCCCTGATATTACAGAAATTAGACTGCTCTTTCCAGGTGAGATTAGTGCTTTGTTTCCAGCAGAGGTGCTTCAAACCCAGGTCTTGTGACCTGTAATACTACAGCTGTGTCAGAGAACTGGTTTCAAAATAGCTGTCACGTAACCTGATGATAAATATGGTCTGAGGCACAATTTCGTATCATCATAAAAATGGAAGGAAGATCCAGCTAGCACAGATTAAAAAGGTGAATCTAGTCTGGCTGCCTGGAAATCAGTCGAGACCCCCTCATCAGCTGCAGCCAGCAGCGGGTCAGAGCCAGGGTAGGGAGAGGCGTGCGGTCACCTGAGTACCTGGCAGACTACACCAGTCTGCAGCAGGCCTGGCCTGGCTGAGCACTGCTGGCATCCTAAGTAGAGACTAGAATATGAGCCCACATCTTAGTGTCTGTTAATGCTTTAATGATAAAATAAACCAAGCTAAAAGCCTACACTTGCATTGAATTGTCAGGTATACCAGAACTGCATCTTTTTAATGCTTTCACGTCATCCGTTTTCATTCGTGTCTCAAGGAGTTAAGACCTGTGCCGCTGCTGTAAACTAAAATAAAGACATACTCAGGGTGAAAAACAGAATAAATTTGGCTCCTGCCTTTAGGAGCTCCCACATTTAGCTCCATTATTGTTGGTATCTTTATTCTTATTGTACAAAGCTCTGTGCAATGCTCACTGCTGGAACCTAGCTTTTGATGAATAAAAAAAAAAAAAAAAAAAAAAAAAAGGCAATACTGAAAGTTTGTATTAGGTTGATATTAAAATATTTTGAGGATCAAATAAAAAGCAAAGTAAATTCCCCAGAATATCTTAAAGCTTCTATTTAACAGACATTTGAAAAAAACCTTATGGAAGTATAGCTATAAAAGAAAGGGAGAGAAGGAGTAAAAATAATATATTGCACTGTAATGTTTTGACAGGTTTCTATTTATTAGCTTTAATGATTAGCAAGATCTTGTTTCACTTTGTCAGTGTTCCCATCTTGTTTTGGGATTTTAATGGCAATAGAGCTCATATGAACTACATACAGAATTTCACCAATATTTCATTATTTTCTAGAAACTAAATACTGCATTGGATAGGAACGAAGAAAGTAATGGTATTCTCTGTATCTCCTTGTTCAATCATTAATTCTTTATTTTAAAAAGTCTTGCAATACTATGTCCAATTTAACCATATTTGAACATTGTTACAATATAGTAAGATGTTGCTGAACATATCTCCTCTTCCTTTCGCTACTTTGTGTGGTGGTGTATGGATTTGTAAACTTGTATAAATTTTTGAATTAAAGAAATACTGTGTTTTGGACAATTATTTTACCTGGTATGATTTGAAACAAAAAGATACCCATGGCTTGTTTGAATGGGCATCTAACTCTATGAGTAGGGGTGGGAAGGGTGTGGAGATGGAACATGCTAATTGCCTACAACGATTAAATAGCTCTTAAGTTGTTTTTTCCCCCTAAAAGAGAAATAGAATTCCATTTACAACCAAATGGCAAATCTAGGAGATGTGCAAGAATGCTGCAGACCACATTGCTGTACACTCAGGAGCTAATAAGTTTGCATTCCTTCCCAGCTTTTCATGGAACAATTGCTGAAACAGTAAATTGTGGCAATTTTAGTGTGTCATGCTTTGTTAGACCCCAACTGTACCTTAAACACCAGGCGTTCAAGAATGCCTGTTTCTGTGGCAGAGCTGCAATACGCTGCAGCAGGGTACTGCTCAGAGCTAAGAATCCTTGTGCAAATGACTCTTCCACCTCACGTCTGCAAGGACACCTCTTGGAGATGACTCCAGTAAGGAGGGCTTGATAACCCATCCACATTGGTGGGAGTGGTTCAGCTCCAGTAGGGTCTTATTAGGATCCAGTAAAGCCAGGAGGTTCCTACATGCTGACTATACTGTGAGCAGGACACAATCACCTGAAACAAAATTTTCATGTGAATTCATTGGAATTAAAATTGTGCAGCACGCAATGGAGAGTGTCGCCTATTAATAGCCACTGGGCCAGTTCTTAAGACTCAATTGTTTTTATTAGTTTGATTAAAAATAGAAGGAAATTATGCTCAAAGTAACTCACTTGAATGTCACTAAATGTTCCTATTTACAAGTGAAATAAGGCAAACAAAATTCAAGACTTGGTTCCCTACTGCCTCTCATGCTGGATAATTACTCATAACTATGAAAAATGTATCTGAAACATTATCAGCTTAGAATTGCTGGCATTTTAAAATGTACTTTCCACATGTTTAATGACTTTCAAAAGATGTGAGTCTGTGGATAATCAATACCAATAACTTTTCAGCTTATGCAGTGTGCATTTTACATAATAATTATAAAATGAATGTGTTTACTTGCATTTTAGCAGCTTGACTTAGAGTGACTGAATATGGTAACTTTGAGAAGTGGCTGATCTGATACTGCATTTTACACAGGTGTATTTATATCTGTGAATGTAAATAACTGGAATTGTTAAAAATTAATGATAGCTGCTGCTTGGGGTTTTATCCCTACTGTAGTATATAACTATATATACACACACACACACAAATACATTCCAACATTGTCATCAGAAAAATAGAATATGTATTTTTATACAGTACATATATTACTCTTGCTTTATGGTGTTTTTATTTAACAAGCAAAAAAAGTGTGCTGCCTAGTGTACTGCTACAGTACTGTAGGATACTCCGCTGTGCACAGTACCAAGTGCCTTAGACAATTGTTCAGCTCTTCAAATTATAGATATATATGAATGAATACATATAAATATAAAATGAAGAAATTACCTCAATAAAATTGTTCAGCAAATCTTTACAGGAAATATTTTCTTGACTCTCTAGCAAGTACATGTGCATGTATAATGGAGCTAACTTCAGAGAGCAGTTACCTGTTGGAAAGCAGCCTCCAGAGACTGAATTAAAAGACCCTCTGCATGGAAATGAAATGAAGGAAAGTTCCTGAAACCTTCCTTTGAATGTTGGGACTTCTTCAAACACATCTGGTAGCTCTCTTGTGGGTGCTGTATTCATGCAGAGGTGTGCTCAAAGTGGTGACAGTTATTTTAAAAATACAAATTTAGTGTTGTAGCTCAATGGTTCAGAGACCTAATTTATTCTCCCAGTTTCCTAGTATTTTTTTTTTTTTATCACCAAGAAGTCATTTACTAGTTTCAGTGGAATAACTTCATTGACAGCAGATTTGCAGCAGAATTAAACCTACTGTACATGGGCAGAGCTGATCTGCTTAGCTGAGTGTTCAACCTAGTCTGCAATATGTCTGCCAATCTTTACAAAGGGACTGACAATAACTTTTGCTTTTTAGTTACTTTGTAATAACTTCTGATTTGAAAGGACTAAGAGAAAAATTATTAGCATAAATTTCCTCACATGGAAGGCAAGTTGTTGATCATGTTAAAGAAATGTGTGCTTCCAGCATGTTATTTTTCAAGTGGCTGCCTCGACAGTGAGACCCTTCCTACACTGACCATTCTTCCTCCATAAGCATAAAAGAAGTGGTTAGTGACCTGGGCGCTTTTCCCCTCGGTCTCTGTAGATGCTTTTTGCTGAGTTTAAACTGCAAGGTGTCTCAGCAGAGAACACAATGAGACAGCACACTGGGATGGATGGCCTTGTAAAGGCTTAGAAGAAATTAGAAGCTTAAGACTCTCTCATACACATTTCACATACACGTGATACTAAAACTTGATCTATCGTAAATCAGTTGGAAGGAGATGACCCACCCTTAGTTATCACCAAAGGAGGCGATATGATTCTTATTACTGCTAGTCCCTCAGTCTTAAAACTAATCTCCAGATGTATTACTGTTGGCATACATTATCAATCTCCTGTAATAAAGGAGCCTGTTGTTTTAGTCACAGTGTCAACATACAGTATAGGTCCTTCACCCTAAACGCTTAGAATGTAAACAGGATATACAGGGTAGGGAAGTGAGTTCAAGCAAGACAGAAAACCCTAAGACTTAAAAAACTGAACAGGTAAATTTAACTTACACATACGAAACAGATGACTAGCAACAGAGCTGAGAGCAAAAGCTAATTTTTCACACTTCCAGACTGGCATGATCATCCTGAGTGCCATCATGTGGCATGTTCAGGACAACCAGGCAACGAGGCCCAGTCAGCATGGATTTATGAAAAGCAGGACCTGCTCGACTAACGTGAGCTCCTTTTATGGCAAGGTGACCTGCTTAGTGGACGAGGAAAAGGCTGTGGATGTTGTCTGCCTAGACTTTAGTAAAGCCTTTGACACCGTTTCCCACAGCATTCTTCTGGTTGCTCATGTCTTGGATGGGTATATTCCATGCTGGGTAAAAAACTGGCTGGATGGCCAGGCCCAAAGAGTTGTGGTGAATGGAGTTAAATCCAGTTGGTGGCTGGTCACAAGCGGTGTTCCCCAGGGCTCAGTATTTGGGCCATTTCTGTTTAATATCTTTATCAATGATCTGGACGAAGGGATTGAGTGCATCCTCAGTAAGTTTGCAGACAACACCAAGTTGGGCGGGACGGTTGGTCTGCTTGAGGGTAGGGAGGCTCTGCAGAGGGATCTGGACAGGCTGGATCGATGGGCCAAGGCCAATCGCATGAGGTTCAACAAGGCTCAGTTCTGGGTCCTGCACTGGGGTCACAACAGACCCATGCAATGCTACAGGCTTGGGGAGGAGCAGCTGGAAAGCTGCTTGGCAGAGAGGGCCCCCTGGCTATACTGGTCAACATCTGGCTGAATATGAGCCAGCAGTGTGCCCAGGCGGCCAAGAGGGCCAACAGCATCCTGGCTTCTATCAGGAATAGTGTGGCCAGCAGGAGCAAGGAAGTCATCCTTCCCCTGCACTCAGCCCTGGTGAGGCTGCATCTCAAATACTGTGTTCAGTTTTGGGCCCCTCACTACAAGAAGGACATTGAGGTGCTGGAGAAGGGCTGGAGAAGGGTGTCTGAAGAAGGGCGACAAAGCTGGTGAGGGGTCTGGAGCACAAGTCTGATGAGGAGCAGCTGAGGGAACTGGGGTTGTTCAGCCCAGAGAAGAGGAGGCTGAGGGGAGACCTTATCGCCCTCTAGAACTGCCCGACAGGAGGGTGTAGTGAGGTGGGGGTTGGTCTCTTCTCCCAAGTAACAAGCAATAGGACAAGAGGAAATGGCCTCAAGCTGCGCCAGGGCAGGTTTAGATTGGATATTGGGAAAAATTTCTTCACTGAAAGGGTTGTCAAGCATTGGAATGGGCTGCCCAGGGAAGTCATGGAGTCCCCATCCCTGGAGGTATTTAAAAGATGTGGTGCTTAGGGACGTGGTTTAGTGGTGGAATGGCAGTGCTAAGTTGATGGTTGCACTTGATGATATTAAAGGTCTTTTCCAACCTAAATGTTTCTATGATTCTATGATATTCCTAGACCAGATTTGCGGTACGTGGAATGACAGTACTGCCACTATGAGGTAGGGGGTCACCAGGTGTAGGGGATTGCCCGGTGTAATCCTGTCTGCATACAAGTACTTTGCACTTCTACAGATGCCAGAGTTACCTCAGGGGCCTGGAAGCAATAAGGAGTAATCTCATCTACTTCATTACCCCACAGATAAAGGCTAAGCACTGTATTTTCAACAGCTGGGCGATCCTGCTCTTAAGTTACCGTGTGAAAAGCCGCCTCTGCTATTCCACCTGTCACCGGGTTTGCAGTACAGACATACTACAGGAGGGGAGTTGCTCCTGTTAGATGCAGCCCCGAAAAAACCCATTCACAGCATGCAAAGTGTTGCTAACCTTCCTGCACCATGAGGTGTGTACTACAACCTTCAGATGGCTGAGAGCAACAAGATACTCACCGTGTACTTTTAGGAAGCGAGAGGAAAGGAAGCTCTAGCCTTTGCATGGATATAGGCAGGGATAATTTGAATCCTTTGAGTACAGGAGTCACTTCAACTGATGGAGGAGATCAGATCAGTTTGTGCACTTCCGTGAGAGTGATGTGATGAAACTTGACGGTAAAGATGCAAGACTTCAGAAAACAATAGCCAGAAGAGTGAAAATCTGTGCTCTTTCAGAGCTTTAGTGACACCTACCGAAAAACAATGAAATCCACTCAAATATGATTAAAGCTACTAAATTTCAAGGTCTACACATGTATTTAGCTGCATCCATATACACACACGTGGATAATTCTTTCTTAATTTTCAGTAACAGCCTTTCCATAGTTGTTACTGTTTTGTCTATATGCACATGGAAGAAACTGCTCTTCCTTCTGTGTTTTATGCTTTCTTTTTGAAATGTAACAAAACGGTTTTACACCATAAATACCAAGCGTACTTCTTTTTTTCTCCTTAGCTAGGAGCGTGTATGCGTGTGTCCGTGCATTTGTGCACAGGCATGCTGCATGGCATGGGTAGAACTTACACAGCTAGAGCGTGGTATCACAAGAACTCGCATATGGCGAAACACTGTTAGCGTGAGCACGTATTATTTACAGCCGAGCCTTCAAATTCAGCCCGGACAGGAGCTTGCGCAGAGCCAGACGGCAAAGGTGCGTGTGCACAGCGGGTGGCACAGGACCTTCCTGCCGGGCCAGGCGGCGAGTCCCGCTGCCCCTCCCGGCTCGCACAGCTTCTTCGTAAAAGCTGATTGCATTTTACCGCGGCGCCCGAGCCCCCAGCGCAGCACGGCTGACGTCTGTCGCGTAACCTTCCCTCACCGCCCGCGCTTGGGCCGGGGAGGCGCGCAGCTGTGGGACGCGCTGGGGACTTCCCGTGTGCGCGGAG